ACGGAGTCCAGTTTGATGTGTTGTTTTGTCCTGGTTTTGCTCAAGGTGAAAGACAGCATGGTGTAACCTTGGGTCTCGCCCCCTGGCTTTTGAAGCAGAGTGCAAAGTGGTCAGATGAGCTTCGGAATATAAACAGGACCCATCTCTGGAGCACCAGCCTTACTTGATTTCAGCAGCTGGATACACACACAACAAACGTATAAATAGATGTACCCAGGGACAATGCCAAATTGATGTGCATTTGTAGGGTAAAGCACCGGTCTCCAAACACGTTTATTGCTTGCTTTTGAATGAGTGGAACTGAGCAGACAGGAAAGTCATCAGAGTAGGTTAGTAGGTATAGAATCTGGGATGTCCTAAATTCAGGACAAGATGCAGACATCACCAAGACTATGTGGTGACAAAAACAATAGGAGTTTGAAATTGCAGAGTGTTTCCACTGTGAACACAGAAGTGAGCTAACTACAAATATACTTTGGAATTTGAGCAAAAGGAGCAGAGGGTTTCAATGAGGCTGAGGTGTCCCTGCCTCCCTCATTCACCTGGTTGTGATCATCCTCTCCTCCCCATGCAAACAATACTGCAGCGAAATAATGTGCATTCACATGAAGTATATAGCAATGACAGTCAAGTAACTTGAAGCCTTGTCAGCTCTACCTTGGGAGCAAATCTGGAAAAGAGCAGGGGGAAGGGGTTTGTGCCGAAGACACAGATTGAGAAGATTGAGGTCTTGGGGGAAGATTTCTGAGTAAAAGGATAGGATTAAAATGATCCTGTACACTTGAGAGCTTCGGAGGTTTTTTTTCCTCCCCCTGAGCCACAAATTGTATAAACAATGAATTATGTTCTTGCATACCTATTGTTTCTCTCCTTTTGTATCCATCAGCAACACTGCCAGGCAGGAAGCTTTGAGTTTGGAAAGAGCAGAAATGTATTCTCTTACGGATCTGTGTGATGGGTGTAGCATGGAATGATTCAACTTCCAACTGCTTATATTATCCCCCTCCCACCCCCTTCTGGGGCGTCCCCAGCCATCAGGGACTTCTGATAGGAGGTTTGAGAAACAAGGAGGAAGGACACAGGCTCTGCAGTCCAAATGCCCTCATGTGCATTGCAGCTGTGGGATCTTGGGAACGTGTTCTTGCTTCATAAACTCCCATTTTCCCATCACTCTTGCCCACCAAGGATTACAGGAGGAATGTAGGCCTGATGAATAAGAAGTGCCTGGAATATAGAGATTCTTCTCCCCAGCCCTCTCTCGCTGGCTTCAAGATTAGTGGTAGACAAAGCCAGACTTTTAAAAACAATTTTCAAAACACGCGCGTGTTTCTGTATAGACCAAGTCTTAATGGAGAATATATGCTCTGTATAAACTCAGTGATTGATTGGATACCATTGCCAATTCCAATATATTTAGAAAAACAAGACCTAATCTGCCTCTCTGAGAAGACAAACACATTTTTTGGCCTGGGGGGAATATCACTTGGTTACACCAGGTCCTTCGTAAAGGACCTTCACTTTCAAGACCCAGAGCAATATTCTGGGGTACTTTACAGAGGGTGCCCTGTTGGGGTGGCATTGTCCTACTTCAGTACACACTGCAAAGGCAGCATAGATGGCTTCCTGCCAAGGTACCATTATGTTCCTATAAATGTATCTTACAATACCTCCCTCACCAAGCAATCAGAGATAAGAGGGAAAATGTAGTTTGGGGAAAAAAATAACTTTCTGATGCGAGCAGCTCTGGCAGCCATGAGCATCAATGGAAGTACTTTTTAATCCATCGTATTTTGCCAGAGGATGACCCTCTCTGTTAGGAGTGGTAATTGCTGTACTTTACTTCTTGCTGTGATTTGATGGAAAGGTTGTCCCCAGGCCCTGACCTGGCTCTGCTTCCAGAGAGAGATCCCTGGGAGCTACTAGTCTAGCTTTAATCTACTACCTGCATTTTGTTTTATCGGGTTTTACATTTTAATGACTTCCTGAAGCTCCCCAAAGTGAGATACATCATAACTGTGGATCTCTGCAGAGGTGTGATAGTTTCAGAGACTGGCTAGTTGTTGCAGGAGGGAGGCACACTCCAGGTGTGACGATCTCTAAGAAGCAGTTAAAGCGAGCTCTTGGTATGCGATGGTGTTGTGGGAGTCAGAAAAGATAGTCATTGCTTTTTTCAACTCGTATTTCATGAATTAAGGTTAATTTTTCCAGCCGAAGTAATGTTCCCAATGACCTGTTGCAATCAACTTTCCCATTAGGTGGAAAGCGTTGCATGCGATTATTAGAAACTAGACAGACTCAGTCAGATTAAGAAAAAAATATTTTTACAAAGAAAAACTTAAAATAACTATAACTATGCACACACTTATTATAAGCTTACTGAGTGTCTCACAGAATGCAAGAATCAGCTTCCAGTTTCTTAGGAAAAAGTAGAGCCAGGGTCTGGGCTCTGTGCCCTGGGCACCACCACACCCACCCCTCCCCATTCCTCAGTCCACGTGGCTGGATGAGCCACCCAGCTCTGTTCTCCTTTCTGAAGCCGCACGTGCTCTTCCCTGGAGCTGACATGCCTTTTCGTGGGCTCCCCGACCCTTTGTCCAGAATAGCCTGATTGTCCACTCAGTTGCTCTCTGCCCCTGTACTGTTTCCTTCATAGCACTTAATAAATAAGATAGTTTCCCATTGTTTTATCTTCCTCCACACCTGATGGAAGCATCAGGAGGAGCTTGTTCACCTCTAAATTCTCATCATCTAGACCAGGGGTTTGCCAACTGCGAGCCACATGCGGCTCTTTGGATACGTACATGTGGCTCTGAGTAAAATTGAAAATGAAAATAAAACTATCATAGTTTCATTTATAAAATTTGTAAAGGATATTATTCACATAATGGTGATTTCATTTGTTTTATGGCTCTTGAATAATTTTTAAATTGTTGTGAGGGACAGGATTGGCTCGTCCATCTCAAAAGTTTGCTGACTCCTGACCTAGCCATTGCCCCATACACTCAATAAATGGTGAGTGAGTGAATATATAAATGCAGGCTCGGCTGCAGTTAGTGGGGGGGTGCTGTGTAGCGTTTCCAAGCATAAGAAGTCTGTGCTGTGCCTTATGGAGAAAATCCGTGTGTTAAATAAGCATCAGGCATGAGTTACAGTGCCGTCCGTGAGTTCCCTGTTAATGAATCAACAGTATATTAAATAAGGTGTCTTTAAACATGAAACTAGGCTATGTATTGATCAGTGGACAAAAATGTTATGACCAGAGGCTTGCAGGAACCTAACCTGTATTTCTCCTAGGAGCAGGTAGTGCAGTGTTTGCTATTTCAGTGTTCACGGTGACTTTGTAGAACGTAACTATCATGAATAACGAGAATCTATATTTATTAATCTGGTGAGACTTAAAGGGATTTTCATACCTATTTCCATTGACAATATCAAGTAGACCTTCCAGATGTTAGCTTAAAGCATTTTTTTTTCTTCAGAAACAAGCCATTCAGAATACAAATCTTTGGTGAAGAATATGCATTCTTCCAACAAATCGTTTTTTCTTTACCACTTGTTTAAATTCATCTCAGATCATTGGTGTCAGGCTTGTGATATAGATAGATAGATAGATAGATAGATAGATAGATAGATAGATAGATAGATAGATAGATATAGATAGATATAGATATAGATATATATGAATACCTGGGGCTGAGCGTCTACTGCTGACGAGAGACAGAGATTGTATTTCTCATAGTTCACTGATGACAGGCCCAGGACCCAGGAAAGGGTTCACTGAGCTGCAACAGCTGACATTTGGTACACAGCTGCCCAACCTTCATGGCAGCGAAGCTTCGTGAAAGCGTGTTGCATGCTTTGTAATGTGTCTGGTCAGTCACTGTATTGCCTGTCACTTGTCTTGGACCTAAACTTAGTTAAGAACTAATAGCAGGAAGGGGAAGGTAGGGAATAGATAAGATGAATACTGAAGATTAAGTTTAATGCAATTCTTATAAATTGACTGACTCTAGGGTAAATGGACAGGACAAGAGATTATAGCCTTTAAGGCTGATGGAAACTCATTAGCAAAGGGAATTCGGTTGGTGGAGTCAAACTTCAAACTCAGTGAGGACTGTGCAGAGGACAACCTAAAAGAAAGGCGGACTCACACATTTGCACATTTAGGATTTACAAATTGTCAGACTTGGCTTGCTTGTCACGCTGCCTCTTCCAGAACCTGAGTGACTAATTCATGTTGTCACGTGAATCATCAGTCTGGCCTCATTCAGCACCTACTTGGAGTGGCTGTGAGAGCCAGGCAAGGTCAAACTTTGGATACTCTGGAGTGTAAAGCTTAAGTGTTTGGACGGATGCGCGAGAGCACCTGAGTTTGAATTAAAGCTCTGCCACTTATGAACTATGTTGTCTTAGGCCAGTTAGTTAACCTGTCAGGGTCTCAGTTTCCAGAGTTGTGAAGTATAGATAACACTAGTATCCACCTCCTAAGGCTGTTGTGAGGATCAGATGAGATAATCCACATATACTGGTGCTTAGCACAGTGCCTGGCATAGATTGAGTACTCGTCTGAAATACAGAAGGGTAGCCACTGTGCCAAGATGTCCTCGGCAAAAAACGAGTGGTACACGATGAGGCAAGCGGGCCAAATCCTACAGGGCCTCGTAGGTAGCCACAGGAAAGACCTTATAACTAATTCTTAAGTGCATTTAGGAAGCCTTTGCCTGTTTTTAAGCAAGTCACTGACAGCACAGTTTAGAAGAAAACAATTGTTTTCTGTCCTTTTTACTAGGGAAAAAAAGGGGTCCTCAATACCATGACATAAAATTCTTCTGGGACCCACTGACCTTGTCTGATGTTGGTGATGACAGCACTGGTAGGAGAAGTATTTACAATAATCGCTGTCTTTGGTGTGCTTACCCGTATCAGGCTCACATGCATCCTTGTATTCAAACCTCACAGCTACCTTCCAAGGTCATCTTATCCTTGTTACAGATGAGAAACTGAGGCTTGAAGTCTTGTAGCTCAGATTCAAATGCAGGTTCTCTGCTCCGGGGCTCACTGGCCTCTCACTGATGTCCAGAGGGACCTTGAATGTGATGGAGAGAGGGCCCTGAAGTCAGATAAGCTGTCTTAGCTCTGCCTCCCACCTCTGTGCCTTGGTTTCCCTATTTGGAAACTGGGAATACCTATTTCACAGAGCGGAGGGGAGGAATTGTGGTGGTATTAATGCTGAGTGGCCAGAACGGCTCTGGACACAGAGGAAGCATCCGTATGTGTCCCACCGCTACCTTCATTTCCTTGTTGCCCGTCTGCCGGTGTGTTCTCTGTCACCAGCGCACTACATACAGTCATCGGATGTTTTGTTTCCTTACCATTAACCAGCTCCCTGCTGTCTCTGAGACAGCGTGTCATGCAGAGGAAAACACCCCCACCCTCTGCAAAGGGCCGTTCCTCTCGTTCATGCGGCTGCTTCCTCCAACCGCGATGGATGCGGACCAGGGCAGCGCGGTGCACGCACATTCAGGAAGCTGAGCCCCAATTCCCCCTTAACTAGAGTTCTCCAAATTATGCTTTTTAATTAAACCTTTCAAGGTTTAATTAGGAAATGACATGAGTCATCTTTGTGACTGAAAATGTATTTGTGGTTTGGCTAATTAGGTAGTGAGATTTAATATGAGTTCTTCTCATGTGTAAAATTAACACATTAAATATTTTTAAAAGGAAAACATCTAAAGCATTTCACCTGGGCATCAGGTTGAGAGCAAAGAGGCAGTTCAAAGGAGTTCCACCTAAAGCAATGCTGGGGAAATTGGCTGGTTTTCAGTGTGTCACTTTATGTAGGATGCCTCAGAGACATACCTCTGTCTGTTCACCAGTAACATCTCACTAACCATGCAGGCTTTAATGGTGCCCCGAGACTTGGAGATAAAACCTCCGTTCCTCATCCAGGCACTTTACTCCAATCTCAACCACCACCCAAATGCATGCATACTATCCTGCAGCTACCTCATACTCCTCCCCATTCCCTAAAACCACCAGGCTCCCTATGTCTCAGTGGCTCTGTCCATGAAGTGGCCCTCCCTGCAGTGCCGTGTCCCATCTCTTCTGCACCCGTATTAACCCTGTCTTTACTGTTCTGTATTCTGATGCTGACGTCAGGGACCTTGCTGGGAGGGACTGCCCCAGCCAGGGTTAGCTAACTCCTAGGGGTAGCACACTGTGCACAGGCCTGCCAGCACACCTTTCATATGCAAACTACACCAACCCATCCGGACTCCTTCCCTCACCTCCTTTGTCAGGCTGCTGTCACATTCTGGACCAGTATTCCCCTGCTCTGATCAACTCAGGCAGACCAGGTACCAGACAACTTGAGACAGCCTCTGTACCCCAGAGCCTGCTGAAATTACGCAAACTAGCCAAGACTGCCCCGTCTTGCCCGTTTCCTTCCTGTGGACACCACAATAAAGGGTCTTGTCCCTCTGCCTCCTGACCAACCCTGATGTTTCCCATGTGCCCCCACCCCACCGTGTGGCAGGTCATGCCTCATGTTCCTAGGGATCTAAGTATCACAAAGCCTTCCTTTGTGAGAGTTATTTCTGTGTTTCTGTCTTGCCATACCTGATTAAAACAAATCTCCGGTACCGTTAAAACAGCATCTTTCAAAGTACAGCTCAAAAGGCACTTCTTCTGTGACACCTTCCCCATCCCTAATGCAAAGCTGGTTGCTGTTTGTGCAAGCTGTGATACAAACATGTCTTTCTCCCTCGTCAGAGCTTTCCTAGATTCTGTGTCGTGTTCATCGCTGAACTCCCAACATTTAGCCCAGTGTATTTACGTATGTAGTAGACGTGAGGAATAAGTGGGTGAATTGAAAATAACACAGCCTTTCTATCTGAGTCCATTAGTAGTGGATGAGTCAGAAAACAGTACAGTT